CTTATACTCTAAATGGAGAAAAAGAAAAGAATACAATACAATTTTTCATTAGATAACAAACAATGACATTATGATCATGAGTTAAAAATTCTTCTATCAATAAAAGTGACATAAAAATCTCAAAGTGTGGAATATTCGAATGTATGTTTTAATAGTTTTATTAATTTCTATGGTTTTGAAAAATAACTTCCACTATTTTGTCTTGGGAGGCATGTGTCCAATAACGTGGTTGAAATATAGTTTAAGATAAATGTGTTTTACGTATGCACTTTGGTCAACATGTTCTCAATATATGGCTCAGATCCGGGTCGTGTCGTTCGATTACGATCTTTTCAACTTTTGAAGATGTGTCATTTGAGTTCAGTGTACATGAGCTGATAATATATTTTGGGTTATCTTTAAAAAAAAAAAAAAAGGCTATGTATATGGGTTGTGTTTGTGTGGGTTGAGCTTCATATACATATGTCAATCACATAGGGTTTTTTTGCACCACCTTATATTTTCTAAAGTGTTGCTGGAACTATACTAATAGTTATGAGGTGCAGTATTGACTTATACAAAATGAGTGACATCTCATATCACATTTGCATCTCAAGTTATCGAATAATATCAACTTTTACAAGAATAATAGTTTGCTTACATAAAAAGATCAACAATCGGTTTTAGTAGGACATCAAATTTAATGAAAGCACTGATTTTGGTATACCTACCCACATGTATATATACTCACATGTCGATAAGAGAGGTGGGTGTGGGCAACGCCCACACGAGTTACTAGGCTAAAAAACAAAAAAAACGCCGTTACCAAATGTGATCGTGGTAACGGGAAGTAACGCGAAAGCCTTTAACATGTAATAACGGAAGGGAGGGTTGGTGTTCATTGGCGTTATCACGTGTTATGAGGCACAATAACGGGAGTGGGCGTTGCCCACTCCGAGTAGTCTAAGGGAAATTAATAAATTGATTCTTTAGAAGAATGTATTGCTTTTATCTCAGAATGGCATCATTATTGTTCCATCACCACCCCCATCATCTTCCATAATCTAACATCTGTATGATGTTGTACGTATATGGTAAATCTCAACAGGCTACTTGAGTACTTGGTCCAATGGTACAACAGGCCTTAGCAGTCACAGGCTGACAGGCATATATCACCAAGACACCAATCCATGAGCATGGTCCATGAATATCTGCCTAAAAGACATGGCCATGCCATCCACTTGCTGCATATTAGACCATATGCATCACGTGATGTATTAGATGGAAACTTCTAATAAAAACCTCAGCCTATCACAATTCTCAAACTGACCATCCATATTATGAAATTATTGGATAAACTTACTTTGTTCCATAATGTTACATGAAAAAAGTGAAAGGTGTTTATATAGGCATATTTTCTTAAATAAATATTGTTAGGCATATTTTCTGAAATAAATATTGTATTCGATTAGACATATAAGATATATATTACGGAAAATGTTTACAAAAGGAACTTAATTATTTTATGATGAAAAATAGACTTTTATAATCAATATTTTAGGGATAAATTATGATGTTTTTGAAAGTTCGTTTTAGTTGCTAGGCTAACCGGTTCGACCAACAAGTTGCATTGTCTGACACTCGTGGTAGACTCTATTTTGCTCAAATGATTCAAGTTAAAGGTTGGAGTAAATGGTGTTTGACAAAAACAAAATAAAATTAGTTGAGGTAAACTGAATCAACAAAATTTGTTAAATAAAAAAAAATAAACATTTTCAACTAGAATACTTACTAATAGATAAATGATTGGCCAACAAAGCATAACTCGGTTTTCCAAAGGTTACATGTTAGAGAGTGCACCGAGTTGTTCTAGACGACGTACAGGTTGTCGGTACCGTCAGCTACACGACCCTGTCAATCTGTCGTATCAGAGATTCGATGAAAGAGCGGGTTACATAAGCCTTGCCAACCCACCTCTCTCTCTACCTTCTCTCTTCTATGGACCACCTTCTCTCTTCTATGGACCGTTTACCAAGAACCATTTTTTTGAAAGTTTATTGTATTTTATTTTTCTTTTTTCTTTTTTGCCAACTATAAAGAATATGTCATCCACATCCACATCCTCATAACCTCCAGAAATAATAGATATCATCACTATAATCGTTGGCCTCGTTCATCGAAACAAAGAAGAGGCGAACGAAAGAAAGTGATACCGAGTTGATAAATTGTGTATCTTGAAAGCTATCAAGCAAAAGAAAGTGATACTCTTGGAGGAGGAGATATGACCGCTCAAGGAAGAACGAGAGGAGATATACAATTATTTTTCCAGTCGCGTAACAATTTGATCAGAGGGCTTATGAGTGAGGTGTTAGTGAAAAAATGGCAAATTGCAGTGATTTTAGCTGAGTTTTAAAATTTGTTTTAGGATTTTAGTTATCAGTTTAGAATTTTAATTATTGTTTTAGGAATTTAATTGTCTTTTTATGATATTATTTTTGTAGTTTATTTTGGGGAAATTGTCAGAAATGTCCAAATATTTTCGGAAAAGTTTCACTTTAGTCTCAGATTTTATTTTTTGAACATAAAAGTCCAGATTATTTGATTTTACACGATAATATGTCATTTCATGTTAAAGGAAAAGAAAAAAAAAGACTTTTTTTTTAATTTGAGCCAAAATGAAATAATTGGGATTTTTTTGGGACTAAAGTGAAACTTTTCTGAAAATATTGGGACTTTTCTGATAATTTCCCTTTATTTTGTTAATGAAATTTTATGTTTAATGTAAATTTTATTCATTAATTTTGGTAAATCTTTAATTTAAAATAACATTAATAATTAATTATGTGGGTTGGGAGTGATGAATTTCCATGGTATCTAGGATAGGAGGGATGAACTCCCTCTGCCCTTAGGGTGTTAGATGCCCTTAGGTACCCCTTAGGAAGTATTGCAGGCTACCTAAGTTATTGCTCTCTCTCTCTCTCTCTCATTAAGTGTTAATCAAAATCATGTTTCATTTTTCCCTTTTTTATCAACTATAAATACAACATTCAACCAAGAGATGAAGCGATAAATGTGATGCTCACCTAGAAATGGCAAATTGCAATGATTTATGGTTGGTAGATATATAATTCTATTTTAAGCTTTTAGTTATTGTTTTAAGATTGTTATCAGTGTCTTAGAATTTTAATTTTTGGTTTTATGATTTTCTTTGACATTTGTAGTTGTTTACCTGTGTAATGTTATTTTTTAATTATAGTCTCTTTTAATTTGATTCTAGAATATTTTTTCCAGATAATTGTTTAATTGTGTGGGTTGTAAGGGATATAAATGGATGAATTCTCATGGATTGTGGGATATAAGAGATGTAAATGAGATAAGAGAGAAAAGATTACATGTCAATAAAACTCATGTGCGTTGAGAGAGATGAGGGGGATGGACTTAGATTTTGCAAAAGGTTTGTGATTAAATTTATATTCGTTCAACAGTCAAAAGAAAGGAGAGAGAGAGAGAGAGAGAGAGAGAGAGAGAGAGAGAGAGTTGAGAGAGAGTGAGAGAGAGAGAGAGAGAGAGAGAGAGAGAGAGAGAGAGAGAGCTGAAAAGAGTGCATTCTCCAAACCGTCTTACCCACGTTTTTGTGGTACCGGATTAGTGACGCCAACAATATCGCTTACCTTCCCCAAGTCGCGACCAAACAGACACGACTCCATAAACTCCAAATAGATTGATCTACAATACACGTAAACTAAAATAAAATTTTATTTTTTAAAAATTGAACAGAAAATATGATTATACCGTTATCATTGTTTTGATTACAATAATTTCGTTATATTTGTAGGAATAATATTGTATATTATATCAATATACAATATATATTGCATGTGAAATTTAGTTAACTCCTACGGTCCCAAACAAATGATCATGCAATGTACTAGTTCATTTTATTACTTCTCTTTAGAGCATGTACAATGTAAGTTAATAAAAACGGAATAAAAAAGATGGTTGATGTAGCATTGAATGAGAGTTGAATATGTGATGTTATGGAGGTTGAATCAATGGAGAGTTATGGGGATTTCAATCCCCTTATTGAACAACTAAATGAAAAAGATGTTAGGAAATTTAAAGAAATTTTGAATAGTTGTCAAGTCCATTAGTCCTATATAGGTAAGGGAAAGAAACAAAAGATATCTTATAAGGATTTCCCCCATGCTTGTAAAAATTGGTAGGCGTTTCGAAATGATCAACCCAGATACACGTCTAGTTGTGGCTATAAACGAGAAGTCCACAAAGTGATAAGGTGTAGGTGTACTTTGAACTTCCTCGCTAGGAATTAAGAAGCTTTATATTTTTAGTAGGTGTGGGGTTTAATCGACTAAGTCAAATGATTCATCAGTCATCAGTTTGATTTCTCCACATAGATAACCACTAGTAGAAAGTTGATAGATTTTTTTTACCACATTGGCACTCTTAGGGTTTCTATCTAGACTCACGACTACCATGTTGTTAGCTGTGATTTTTGGGTTGTTGTGACCAGCTTCCCATTTTGGTGAGGCCTCCTAGGGTTTTCACCTCGTATAAATAAGTCTTCCCGAGTCTCCTTAATTCACATGAAAATACTTAGATTCTCATATTCTCTCTTCTTCCTCAATCTGCGATTTGCGAGTAGACAAAAGAAAACAATTTCTAGTTTCTTATGATTTCCAGTTAACTGCTTTGCATTAATCATTATTATAGTTATTGGAATAAACAATTTTATACATTAAATCCTGGATCTTTACGCCTCATCCTTACAAACAATAACAATAGTTTTATGTGTGCAACAATCTTCCATCAAAGAAGTTGTCATTAATAAGGTTGGTATTTGCTTCTTGTAGCTTTTCAACATCACCGTTTTCGAGGATTTCAACAGACTCTAAGTTATTAGAAGCTCAATGTCATTATTAATTGCATTAATCTCATCCTCGTTAGTCTCAGTCACCGTCAAGACTGTCTCCAACCAACTGTTAGTGGACTTCTCACCATCATCAACCACTATCTCTTCTACAACAATTTCCACTTGGAAGTATATAAATTAGTTGGAATTGACTTGTCCCTCGGTGATGATTCCAGAGTGATTTCCCTTCTTTGACCTCGTTTTTATCTTCCATCATAAAAGTGTCTAAGATACCATCATCCTCTTCGTCCTCTACCATAACATCTTTGTCTTCATCAGAGTCATCTTTTACTGTATCGAATGGAATAGGATGAAATGGGGACCAATCATTTCTATACTCAACCACTCCTATATTGAATTTCATACCATCTGCCATACTAGTAACCTCAATATTGATCAATTTCCGTTGCGACGTTAGTATCCCAACTTTTCCTATTAAGAAGCCCCTTCTGTTTAAGATGTTGTTGAAGGGATATATTACCTTTTTTAATATGCCCGCTATTGAAGAAAAGTTTGCTTCATCCCAAAGTCTCAATGGAAGTTCGAGAATCTTGAGCCACACAGTTCTTTCATATTGCATCCATATTTATCGGCACGAGTCATCCGTTTAAACCAATCCTTCCACCTATTTTTTTCCTCTAGAAATTCTTTTATTGCAATAGAGTGGTTAAATCGTAGATCCATTTTTATCCCCCTCCCCCCCCCCCCCCCGAGTATTTAGTGTGTTCGTCAATTAGTGATGAAGCTGAAAGATTGTCGATGTGATGTAGGCTATGAGTTTCACCTATCAACATACACTTACTCCACCATTCAATATGTATGTTTTGTGGGTTTATATGGATCGAAGGGGAAGAGGGTTAGGGACTGTACTACCAGAGTATGAGATAACTACATCAAAATTTCTTTTATCTCTCAGATCTCTTGGACCAGATGAAGGACCGGGGGGGGGGGGGGGGGGGAAAAATGTTGATTTGGTTATGAATTTGGGGGACGGTGGTTGGAGTCCTTTATGCCTTCTATTTATACTTTGATATGTTTATGGTTAGTATCACTTCCATACATTTTATGCCTTGGAGTTTGTCTTCCAAGGACTTCACATCTCCACCACCTCTGAATCTAACGAATGAAAAATTCATTCTATGGTTGTGTCTTTTTCCACCTAGATATACATCTACCACATGACCATGTTTGGAGAATGGTTTCCATAGTTCTCACTTCCTGATGCCACCTGAGAAACCTGCAACATAGAAATTTGCTAACACTTGACTATCTTTGGTCTCAATTACTGTTGTTTTTCTTCGTCGGGCCTCTGTTCACCCATCATTGTATTGGAGCATTTAATCTGGCATTGAAATCACCTCCTCGTTGTGGGGTAGAGTCATTGCATGAATTCATAATTTACAAAACAAAACTGTTGGAATATCTATAAAAAAACCATGACTGGAGTTTGGAACAATATTGCAGGAACTATCAAAGACACTTTATGTTTTAGCTTAGGTTTTAATGATATTTTCAAATTTTTATGAAGTTAGGGGACAAAATACAATTTTGGCATGATGTATGGATTAGTACTGAGAAGCTTAAGGTGAAATATCCTCTACTATATGAAATCGAAGGGCAAAATAAATGTTCCGTAGTTGCATGTCTGAATTCTAATGGATTCTCTTGGAATTGGAAATCTTGTCCAATTAATGATGGGTTGCGTGTCTGAATTCTAATGCGTGTCTGAATTCTAATCGATTAACTGTGAAATTGATCCTATTCATCTTCAATTGGGAACAGATCAATTAATATGTCTACTCGCTCTTAATAGGAGATACACGGTTGAGCTATTAAGAACGAAATTTGATCATAACCCTATATTCATTCTCCTCTCTCTTATATCAGGTGGAGTGAAATGATTCCAATCAAGGTAACTAGTTTTATATGAACAACAACACTTCATTGAATACCTTCTACAGTTGCTCTTACACATATAGGTATTCAACTTGACTCTTGTATTTGTGGTTCCTGTACTGATGGTTTGGAGTGTTTCGATCACATCCTTTGTTGGATGTTCATATGTGTGTCTGGTCCGAGAAAAGATACTAAATTTGTGTGGTCTTGAACAAATTAAAATTCATAATGTTGGTGACTTTGTTCGCTTTGCAATTACATTGTAACATCCAGTTTCAGGATGTTTCGAATTTCGGGATAGCGAACTGTAATTCACTCAAGTAAGGGTCTTAGGCTTCAAGGGATAAATTTTATACCTTATTAGATGATGATAATGTTCGTTAAGTGATTTAAGCTTTTGAATTGTGTTTTGGAGCCCAAAAGGGGTAAAATGGGAAAAAGGTGATATTTTGTACTCTTTGCATTAATTAATAAATTAAGTTCTAAATGTTTTAGGTCAAAAGTAATTAGATAGAGTTATGTGGTTTGTTAATACTTTTGTTTACATATAAAGATCGCTGAAAATGGAGTTAGAATGAAGAAGTTATGGTTGTTCGAATAATTCACTGAAAACTGAAAATCAAAGATTTAGTTGAGAAGCGCGGAGTGCTTCCGGCCCAGTGGGGTGAACGATTTTTTAGGGTTTTGGGGGTATTTAAAGGCCACTAACTCGCTAGAGTTGATCATTCTCAGCCCCCATGACCCCGTGACCGATTTTTCTTTAACCCTAACCCTTTCTCTCTCATTTTGAGCCTTGATATCATTTTGGGAGCTTATCTTCTTCATAGTGTGCTTGAAGCTTAAGGATCAAGTTTCCTTTTGAAACAAGGAAGTAAGGAGCAAGTGTAGATCCAACAAGTTTACACCTTTCTTGGACCATTGTGAGTATAAAGCTTCAAGTTTTCCTTTTCATGTGTTAGATCTTGTTATTTGTCTATGTTATGCACTTTTGGTCCCATTCTGGTGGTGAGTTGGAGTCGAGGTAACTCCAACTCCTTTTAAGCACTTAGGATTGTTACATGGGTCATAGGGACTTAGAAAGTTGGCATCTTGTGCATGTTCGTTTAGCCATGTATGTTATTTTTGGTCCTTTTGGTCCTTTGGTCCTTTTGGTCCTTTTGGCCATTATGATGCTTTAAAGTCTAGATCTTGACAGTTTGTGACATTGTTATGGATAAAGTTGGAAACTTTATCTATCTTGGCATCATGTTGTTTCAGATCTGAAAGTTGGAGGCTTGGACTTAATATATTAAGTTGAAAGAAATGCATTCTTGGACTTTTTGAGACTTAAAGTTTAGATCTTGTTTGTTATGGAAAGGCTTAATGGATTAAGTTGAAAACTTTATCAATTCAGACCTAATGGGAGTTCAGATCTAGAATTTGGGGTATTGACTTAATAGTTTAAATCCTTTAACCATTTGGATTAAGTCAAGGCGTGGTGCACTCTTCCTTAGCGTGACGTGCTTTTGGGATTTCTGATGTGCGCTTGATTTTGAGTTAGATCTCAACTATTTTGTTCTATAGTGGGCACTAGATGCCTGTGAGAGGGCGTAGTGCGCCTGTTGTCGAAAGTGTTGACTGTAACCGTTGACTTTTTGACGAGTTTGACTGTTGGTCAAACGTGGGTAGAATTGAGTATTTGATTAACGAATAATTTTGGTTTGGCATTAGGTATCGTGGATTAGCTGTTATGTTGCTCAGGTAGCTGTTGAGCTTCTGTTGAGTAGTTTAGGTGAGTTTTCTCACCATACTATGTAGGATGCTATATTGTCTTTGTGACTCTTGTACGTATGATAGGTTGGTCTCGCGATATGGGTGGGGCCCAGTAGAGGTATAGGCGGGGCCCGATGTTATGTATGTTATGTGGTATCTTGGAGAACTCACTAAGCTATGTGCTTACAGTTTTATGTTAAATGTTGCAGGTTTTCTTATATTAAAGGAAGGGCGCGGCTCGATTACATCGCACCCATTGGAGATTTCTTGTAACATCCCAAAAATCATGACCAAAAATTTTCATTTTAAATATAATAATTATGAAACCATTTGTCTGAAAACAACCATAGTATCAATTCATATCAAAACCAGAGTATCAGTAGTCAAATCATATCATGATAAAACAATCTGAGTACACATCCCAGAAATCTCATATGCGGAAAATCGTGTGTGTAATACGCTGCTACCGTGCCGGCTCTTTTCCCTTCGAAGAGGAAGTACCTGAAACCAAAACTGAAAACCGTAAGCACAAATCTTAGTGAGTTCCCCCATCATACCACATACCACATACACATAATACCTATCCATCGGTATCTTTCAACCGGTATCTGACTGGCATAACTAGGAGATGGACTCCCCTTCGGTATCTTTCAACCGGTAACCGGGAGCTGGGCTCCCCCTCAGTATCTTTCAACCGGTAACTGGGAGCTGGGCTCCCCCTCAATATCTTTCAACCGGTAACCGGGAGCTGGCCTCCCTGTCGGTATCTTTCAACCGGTAACCGGGGACTATTTCACCCCTACCACTACCACATAATAACATAACTTGAACATACTTCTAGGCATGCATGGGTACTGTCTACCCCTTCGGTATCTTTCAACCGATATCCGGAGACTATTTCACCCCTCCTACCACTACCACATAATATCATAGCATCCTAGCACATAAAGCATATATCAGATAGTGGCATACCAGACAATTATCACAAAGACAATCATCTCAAACATAAGCACCTACTGGTGGGCCGGCATTAGTGCCTTAGACCCACCTCTACTGGAAGGTAACTCACCTCAATGTCGTGAAGTAGCTGAACTCTCCGCGGCTCCTGGATCAACTCTTCTCAAACTCCTACACATAATTATCTCCTTTAGTTAGCCCTTTCATACTCATAATCACTCTAAGGGTCAACTCTGGTCAATGGTCAAAGTCAAAGTCTACATCCTGGTCAAATTCAACATCCTGGTTGACTCAATTCGCCGAGTTGGTCCATCAACTCATTGAGTTCCTTACTACATAAAACCCTAAAATCCCGATCCTACTCGTCGAGTCCTTTAATGGACTCGTCGAGTTCCCCTTCATGCAAGTCGGGGCATTTCACTCACAACTTGCCAAGTTCATCCTTGAACTCGTCGAGTTCTCCTTCATATTAGTTGGGACATTTGCTCTCAACTCACCGATTTCATCCTTGAACTCGTCGAGTTCTTTGATCTTCAAGTCCATAAACACGTCCAACTCGTTGAGTCATCTTCTAGACTCAACAAGTTTGCTCAGTCGCAGAAAAGGTTGGGGAACCATGACCCAACTCGCCGAGTCCTAAGAACGACTCGTCGAGTTCCCCAAAGTCTAATTCCATGCAGCCGATCTTAGTCGGTCTTAATACATCCAAAACATAGATATGTCCTTCTAGAGTCGATATAACACGTAAAGTTACAAACTTTACGTTCATGCATGGGTTGTTTAGCTCAAAAAGGATCTAAAAGTGGTTCTTATAATGCATGGGACTCCCATGGGCATAAAGTTGGCACCTTTATGCCATGGAGTCCCTCAAAGACCCTGGATCTGAAGTCTTAACCCCAAACATGCTTGCATCCATGAATGGTTCCAAAAATGGTTCCTTAAAGCCCTAAACTACTCCATGAAGGGATCTAGTAG